TCGTTAAAGATGCATGAAAAGAAAAGGACTCCACTGAGCCAACAGACAGCAGTGATTCACAGTGATGATGAAAGGCACCCACACAATAACCCTTCTCCCTCACACCAGCCACAAAGGTTTTCAGAGGTGAGTGCAGGTTAATTTATTCTTCTTTATAATTTGGATTTTCTGTATTATTTTGTATTATACTACACTATTATAATCTTTTTTATATGAATAATTTTTGGGTTGTGGAACCAGTCACCTAGTCTCCTTTATTATTATGAGGAAATCTGCTTTGATACACAGATACTTTGGATTACAAGCATGTTTCCACAATGAATTATGCTCGAAGCCAAGATTTTCCTATATGGCTGTTTTGATGGCTTGTCCAGAACAGCAGGCATCCGTCCATTTGCTGATGTCCTCTTCAGTCTCCTTTTTCAGGTTAGGGCACTGTCATTTTCAGCGTCGAGGGCTTTCACCTTCTTGGTTAGCGTAATTCCTACGTATTTAATTTTCTTCATGCCACAATTTGAACACTACTTTCCTAATTTTTTCATAGAGACTTCATTGTTAGTATACAGAAATGCTGTTGATTTTGGGTGTCAATTTGTATCCTGCTGCATTACTGAATTTGACTTTTAATTCTAGCCTTGAATTGTTTTGAATCCTCTATGGAGAGGATCATGTCATCTTGCAATAATAATTTGACTTTTCCTTTCCAATATGCTCCCTTTTTATTTCCTTTTCTTGTCTGATTGCTCTGGCTAATGTCTGGAGTACTGTTTTGTTTTGTTTTTTTCTTGGTACCGGGAACTGAACTTGTGAGCTTGTGCTTGCCAGGCAAGCACTGTGCTGCTGAGGAATACTCGGGCCCTGGAGTACTGTGTTGAACAGGACATGTCCTTGTCTTGTTCCTGATTTTGGAAGCAAAGCTTTGAGCTTTTCCCCATAACATTTTTTGGAAGAGGTTTGCCATCAGTAGGTATTACTGGATTGAGGTAAAGTCCTCTGGGGTTTTTAAAATTTCTTTTGTTATTTTAAAAATTTTTTTTAGCCAAAGTCTTGCTTGTAATTCAGGCTGGTCTTGAATTCACTGTGTAGCCCAGGCTGGCCTTGGACTCCTAGTGATCCTCCTGCCTCAACCTCGTGAGTGCCGAAATTGCAGGCCTGGCTTCCTAGGGATTCACATCATGAAAGGATGTTGGATTTTGCCAAAGGCGGTTTCTGCTCACCTGTGACCTGCATCAGACCCGCTGGCCTCTCAGGATTGGCGCCAGCTTCCTGCCATTGCTGAGTCTGCTGTCTTCCCACTGCCCTTCCTCTCCTGGCTGCTGCCAACATGCTTTGGTGAGAGGTGAGGAGGAGAGACGTCCTGGGCCCCTGGGTCCGTTCTCAGTCTCAGCCCAGGGCCTGGTGTCTCACATGCGCTTCTGCCCTCTGAGCCCACAGCTGGGACAGGACAGCTGGGGTGGCTCCAGCAGGTGCCTCCATTCCGTAACGAGGCCCTGAGGTCCCCAGTAGCTCAGGCTGACCTCATGGGGGAGCGAGTGCTCTGCAATCTCCTGTGCCAGGTGCAACATGCTCTCGTGTCACCTGAGGACTGGGTGCTGCCTGGCTACACAGAGCCTGGCAGTTCTCACAACTGCCTGCTGGCTTCATTCGGAGCCGGGCCCGCACCCATCAGACCTGTGAGAGACACCTTTACTGGCTGGGATGCAGTGGTGCCCTCCGGGGCTGCCTCCTCTCCAGGTAGTCTTCTTTGCAGATCCCAGTAACACCAGTGTTAGCTCCTGCTGCTGACCCTGTGCTACCCGAGAATGCCCCACTCTTTTTTTTTTTTTTTTTGTCTTTTTCTTTTTATCGGTACCAGGGATCGAACTCACGACTGCCTGCTTGCAAGGCAGGCGCTTATGCCTTTGAGCTAAATCCCCGGCCCCCACCCCACTCTTTCTTTGCTGGCAGACAAAACCCCCTTTACTTAGAAACATGAAACAGGCCATGACCCCTCCCGATCTTTCTGCCAACGTTGGTGGGATCAGGCTGTGTGTTGCCCGGTCAGCAGGTCCACTACCTCGGCCCTGTGCCACCACACCAAGGAGCCTGCAGAGGATGGAAGGCAGTGCCAACCCCTGCCATCTTCACCTGTCTTCAGGCAGACCAGGGCTCTGGCCCCTGTATGTGTGTGCACCAATTTAGGCTGCAGATCCCAAGTCAAGAGCGGCCAGGGGGTGGGTGTTTACGGTCTTCCCATAGCACGTGGCCTTCTCCACAGTCCCCCGAGACTCTCTGTGGCCACAGTCTGATATGATGTGTGGTACCTGCCGGGTGCCTGTCCTCATCTTCCTGCTAGGTCACTTCCCCTACTCTTTGGCAGGATCCTTTGGGGCGTGACAGACGGTCTGCTCACGGAGTGATGCCACCTGCCATCTGGCATTTGGCTGAGCACAGGCTGCCCCTCTCTTGGGTACAGCTGAACAGATGAAGCATGGTGCTGTCATTTAAAAAATATTTTTCTGGTGCTGGGGATTGGACCCTGGCCTCTCCCATTCTACATGTGAACTACAACCCTTGAACCTTCATTCATTGCTGTGTTCTTTGGAGCCGAAGCCTTGCCGTACCATAGTTCAGACTGACTTTGAACTATGTGGCTCAAGTTGGCCTTCAATTCACAGACCCTCCTGCCTCAGCCTCCCAAGTGCTGGGATTATAGGCATGTGCCACCATACCTGGCCTATTTGTCTATCATTTTGAGACAGGCTCCTGCTAATTTGCCCGGGCTGGGTCCTCCTGCCTTAGCTGCCCCAGCTTGTCACATTCCTTAGACAGGTGTGGCACAGCCAGTTTTGAGTTACATCTGGTGAGTTGCATATCTGACTGCCCCAGCATGGCACCAATGGGGTCCTTCCTGGCTTGCAGGTTTCCAACTCTTTGCTTGCTGACTTCAGAACTATATGAGTACCACAGTGGGGGCCAGTGGTGCTGGGTTTCCTGCTACCAGCAGGACTCTCCTGGCTAATGGGCAGAGTTTGCCTCTCCTCTGGCAGGCAGCAGCTAGCCTGGTGCTGGGTTCAGGCTGGACAGCTCACTTAGCGCCCCAGCCCTGTGGCTGTATCTGCTTCCGGCATAGGGACCACTACACCAGGGCTCCACTGACATCAGGGCTTCTTCCTGGGCCCAAGGTACAAGCCCAGAACATCTGCTGCCTCCACTGCCCCCAGGAGGGTGCTGTGGTCCTTTGAGGGGTCTTGTCCCAACCTTCCTGCCCAGTGTCTTGATTCGTCTCGACCAGCACGTCCATCAGTTGCTGCTGTCTGCCCCTGGCCAGTGCCCTGGGAAAGCCCTTTCCCAAATAGCCATGGGGCCTGATGGCAGCTATTAGGCAGGGTGGACGGCACAGTGAGCGTGAGATGCAGCCCCTGGCTGTTGGCCCTGGCAGCCCTTCACCTGGCCTGGGAGGACAGGGTAATTTCAGCTGAAGTCCTCCGCTTTCTACGAACTGATGCTCCCCACATTTGCTCCTGTGCCAGAATCACAGTGTCTCAACTAAGGCTACTCTGAATTTGTCACTTACATAGTTTCTCTCGCTCTGGGGCTTAAATGTGCGTGGTGTTGGCTGTCATAACTGATTTGGTAACTGCATTGAGGTGTATCATGCCTTCTGAAGAAATGGAAAGTTATATGAAACAATACAAACAAGGCATTGACAACCAAACTGTAGCAAAAAGGAGCCTGACACATTTACTTCCTGGTGGCTATCAGAGGCCTGGATCTGGGGCACAGCGGTGCAGCCGGCAGTGGTTCTACACACTGACCAGTGGAGCTGGCCCAGCTTGCGGGAAGGCAGTCGCCCTACCCTGAGGCTAGCACCTGAGCCTGCTCCCTGGTTTGTGTGTCACTTGGCTGTCCTGGCCTCCCTAGCTGTCCCTATGCTTGCAGCTGCTGGTCCCACAGGGGAGGACGCAGGTCTGCTCTCCCTAAGAGGTCACAGCGGGATACCACTCAGGCTGGCCCCACCCAGGCTGGATACTACCTGGGCAGAAGCCCTGGATGGAGAGACACCACTGGAACTGGACCCTGAAGGCCCTCTGTGTCTCTGCCTCAGCACCCAGCCTCTCAGAAAGCCCCTTTCTCTTCCGGTCCTCACTGCAGCTGGGGACCCTTGTCCCTTCCCTCTTGGCTGAGCCCCCTGGAGGCGGTCCCAGGCAGCTTCTCCGAGGGGCAGGTCCCATCTTGCACCCTGTCCCGCACCGCCCCCCCTTGGCGCCTCATGGTGGCTGGGTCACTGGTGAGGTGCTGAGCCTCTGCAGGTCTCTAGTCCTGGGGTGAGGTGCTGAGTACTTGCATGTTCAGAGCCAGTGGCTGTCACCTGTCTAGTGCAGCAGACAACACGGAGCCATGCATGCAAACACATGGACACACACACAAATGCGTACACACACACATACACATGCATGGGTTGGGGTCTGTGACTCCCCCCCCCGAAATCACCGACCCCAGGACCCTCTCATGCTGGAAAACTCAATTTTAAAAGGGAAACAGGCTCATGAGGAGCATTTGGCATAAACTTCTGTGGTTCAGGAAAAAATCACAACTCAGGACTTGGAAATGACTTGGGCTGAGCTGGACTGACCCTCAGCAGGGCAGGCTGGGCCAAGCAAGGGGCAGAGGCTGGCGGGGTAGAGCCTGGGGCCTGCTTTCTCCTCTTCCAAAAGAGCAGGCAGGAGCAACAGGGAGATCAGGCTACTCCTGGAGGCAGCAGGCAGCCCTATCCCTGCCCCTGCTGGCCTGGCCGCAGGGCTCACGGCTGACTGTGCAAGGGCCTGGGCCTCACTGTCCTGGGGCCAAGGCCACGCTAACCCAGCCTGACAGGAGGCGGTCACGGTTTATGGCTGGAAAGAAAAGTAATTTGTTCAAAAATTAAAAGCTACCAAGTTGGAAGGAAACAAAGCTGCAGACACATCAGACCCTCCTGAGAGGGAGGTGCGGCCCATGGAACTGCGTGTCTCTATACAAAGAGCATTTTAATTAATTTATTTCTTTACACAGAACTGAAAGTGATGTTACAGTACATAAGTTATTTACAACTGTGCAGTAATGTGTTGCAAAATAAATTATCTAGAAGGCAGCAAAGTACATTGTGAAGGTATATAAAACTGTACAGCGTCCGCAGATACACTCTGTATAGGATTATTGGCTCTGTAGTGTTTCAAGTTATGTTCTCAGAAAGAGAAACAAAATGCCCAAGATTAAAGGAAAAAAATATACAAACCACGTGGATTTGACTCCATTAAAAACACTGCTGGAGAGTCCTGGCTGCATCCCTCTGCGACCAGGCAGGTGGCGGCCGGGCCCTCACCAAGCCAGGGTCCCAGTGTCCCCGTCTGCCCCAAGGATGGGGCCAAGATGGCGATGACCTGCTTTGGACCTGGAGGTCGCTGCCAAGGGCAACATCTTGGTTCACGTCCCACAGACGATCGGAACGCACGAGGGATCCGAAGCGCTCTGTCCTGCGGCTCCTCCTGGGTGCTGTTCTCCAAGACGGAGCTGCCATCCCCTGCACTGTGGTCTCCTCTTCCTCCTGCCGGGGGCAGGGCTCTGTAGCCGAGCCTGGGGCGCCCACAGATGGGAAAGGGACGGCTCCGTCTCCCGAGCCTCTGGCCAGTCTGGAAGGGTAGGCTTGGGCCAGGTGCAGTCTCTCGCTCCTCCCATCTGGCGGTGCGGTCCTCCTCTCCTTCACTGCTGGGACTCACGGGCAGCACTGGCGACTGAGCAGCCCTCGCCTGTCCTACGGCCCTCCTGTGGGTGTCACGCTGGTAGCAGCACAAAATCATCATTGACGTCAACCATGGGCACATAGAAGGAAGGCACCTCATTCACGCACAGGGTTTTGTGCCCGGCTGGGTCCAGCTCCTGTGCCTTCAGCTGCCACTCCATCCTCTGAACGGCGTTGAGGGCCGCTGCCTCGTGCTGCTGCCGCATCAGGAGACATGTCTGCGAGACATGCAGGGGTGAGCACGACCTAGGACCCACCCACCCTGCCTCCAACTGCTCCACTCACCCACTCTGGATCGGCTGAGCCCTCTGGAACCCATGGCCCACTGTCACAAGGCCAAGCAGGAGGCCTGGCCCCTCACAGTTCTGCAGTGCCGCCCTGGCATCTGGCAGCGACTTGACAGCACTGTGCTCTCGCTGCTGCTATCCTATGGTGGCCTGTGCTGTCACTCCCTTTGTATCCCCAGAAGCACCACCATCTAGGCATGCACACAGCCTGAGTGGGGGAATACTCTGGGCACCAGTGAAGAGGTTTATAGGTGGCCAGGAGGCAGCGTGCTGAGCATCAAGGCACAGCCTGGTTACAGGTGCTGGGTTCCCCAGTGAATATCTGTGTGCACATCTGTTGGTTTTCAGTGAATGAAATTGCTGCTTTGGGAGGTAAAACTAGCTTGCTGAGCAAGGATCTACTAGTTGACACTTCTCCCACAATGCAGGCTGACCATGGGCATCCTGGCCAGCACTAGCCTTTCAAATGGGGCTTCATAAGGGTTTCCGGTTCTAAAGTTAATTATCATGCTAGACATCTTTTTATGAGCACGTGGCCATTTTCCAATCTTTTTAATGAACACAGACACTGAAAACCCTGAACAAGATACTGGCAAACAGAATACAATAGGTCATCAAAAGATTACACACTATGACCAAGGAGGCCTCATCCTCAGGGCACTATGGCCTGACATATGCAAATCATCACATGCAATTCACCACACAAACAGAAGCAAGGCCAAGGACCATGAGATCTCTGCAACAGATGCAGAAAAAGCCTTTCACAAAGTCTAGCATCCATTCATGATAAAGCCCTAAAGAAAATTCTGACGAAAGTGATGACAAACCTCCTGCCAGTATTATGTTAAACAGGGGAAAACCGAAAGCTTTCTCTTAAAAACCAGGAAGGAGACAAGGTTGTCCATACCACACTACTGCTGCTCGAAACATCAGCCAGAGCAATTGGGCCAGAGAAAGGAATAAAAGGGATACATACAAGAACGAACAACTGACTCCTACACAGAAGACCCAAAAGATTCCTCCCAAAGACTTTTAGAATAACTAAATTCATAATGTAAAAAATCAGTAGCATTACCATACTCCAATAATGAACTCATCAAGAGAGAAACTAGGAAAACAACACTATTCACAATAGCATCGAGAGGGAGGCTTGGCAGTGCATGTCTGTGATTCCAGCACTTGGGAGACTGAGGAGAGTTTGAGGCCAGCCGGCACTGCAAGTGAGACCCTGTCTCAAAAAATCCAAAAGCAAAACAAAACCCAATAGTATCAAGAAAAATTAAATACTTAGGAATTAACCAAGTAAGTGAAAGACATCTAACAAAAATCACAGTACAGTAAGTCCCTTACTTATAAACAAGTTCCATTCTGGGAGAACTTCATAAACTGGATTCACGTGTAAGCCGAGAATGAGTCTTATGCGTACACTTGTGAAAGTTTGCAACGCAAATGCTCTTAAATGTAGGACCCACTTTACTCTGAAATTAATCAAAGAAGATCTCAGAAAACAGAAGACATCTCTTGTTCTTGGCCAGGCACAACCAATATAGTCAAAATAGCGACTCTCAAAATTGGTAAGACAAGTTTAATTTAATCCCACAGTACCAAATGCATTCCACAGAGAAGTAGAGAAAGCAATCCTAAAATTCATATAAACCACAAGAGACCCAAAGTACCAAAAAGCAATCATGGGCAACAAGAGCAAAGCAGAAGGCATCACAATCCTGGACCCCAAGTTGTATCATAAAGCTACTGTGATAAAAACAGCACAGTATTGACACAAAAACAGGACAGAGGACACGGAGTCCTCCTCAAACACACACCGGAGGAAAAGCAGCCTTTGTAAGAAGCAACACTGGGCAAAGTGGCTTCCCACACGCTGAAGATTAAATCTGGACTCATGCATGTTATTTTACCACGTGCTAAACAAAGTCAAAGCAGATTAAAGTCTCAATATGAAAGCAGAAATACTTTTATCTGTGGGAAGATATAAAAATAGGTAAAACTCTTGAGTCATTTGCAGGTGTAGGAAGACTTTCTAAATGGAATCCCAGTGGCATAAGAAATAATGCCAGGAATGAACAAATGGGACAACCTACTGAAGACACAATCTACAGAATGGCTTAAAAAAAAAAAAAAAAAAAAGGAAAGGAAATTAGCCAGCTGTTCCTCTGGACTAATATCTAGAATAAAGATACTCAACAAGAGCTCAAACATTAGATCTCCCCCATAAAAGACTCATTCAAAAAGTGGTGACCAAAATGAACAGACATTTCTCAGAAGACGACAAATGGCCAAGAGATACATGACTGGTGTTCAGCACCACCAGCCACTATAGAAATGCAAATGAAGACAACAGATGCCATCTTACTCCAGAAAGAGTGGCCATCATCCAGGGATCCAACAGTAAATGCTGGTTGGGCTGCAGGGAAAACAGAACTCTTCTACACTGCCAGTGGAAATGTAAATTAGTACAACCACTCTGGAAATCAGTATGTAGATGCCTCAAAAACTTAAAATTCCATTCACTCCTGCTATTTCCCTTGTATATATCTTCTTCAGAGTTAAGATGTCGCATTACAGTGATATGTGCATAACCATGTTTGCAGCAAAAAATTTCTTATAACTAAATGTTGGAAGCAGATGGTACTGTATGTCCATCAACAGATGAACAGATAAAGAAAGTGTATTTTCACACAATGGTGCACTACTTGGTCATAAAGACAGATGGATTTGAGTCATTTATAGGAAAATGGACGCACCTTAAGACCATAATGTAAGTGAAATAAATCAGATACATAGGTTTAAATATTGCATGGTTTCTTTTGCATGAATCCCAAAGTATAAATAAAGAGCAAAATAAAAGGCAGATAATAACAAACAGAGATTGGGTATTTTTCAAAAGAGGAGATCAAAAGATGGAAGGAGGGAGAAAGAAGGGGAGGGGAAGGAGATAAGTAAAAGAATTAAGATGTGTTATGTGCATGCATCAGCAGCATCCCATGTGGGATATAATCATTAGGTATGCTAACATGGGCTAATAAAAAATAAAAATGCAAAATCAGAACTGGCCTCCTCGTGTTCTAGTCCTGGAATGGCTCTTTATGTACCTATTTTGGGCCTGCCCTTTTTCTTATTTGTCACCTACTGCACATGGCCTTTTGAATGATAATCTCTCTGTCCCAACATGCTCGTTAACCGAGCCCGTGGGTCTTCCCTGGGTCTTGCCCTTAGGCCATGCGCCCCGCTCCTCACTCCTGCACCTTCCAATCCAGCTGCACTGTAAAGGCTGGCGCTGTGGAAGGTGGCAGGGAGCTGGACTCTGGGCCACTCCCCTCTCCGAGGGAGGAGACCAGCAGGCGCGGGGCGGCGTGGACGGGGAGAGAGGCAGACTCTGTCCTTGTACCCGGCCAGTCAGGGCTTTCAGCGTCTCGGATCTCGCAGGCATCCGAGTACACGGCCCCGGCAGCTGCAGCTGCAGCGGAGCGGCTGCTTTCGTGCCGTCCTCCCCTCCTCCCCAGCCGCCCTGGCGGCACGTCCCTGAAGAATAGCGCGGTGTGCTGTGACCTCTGAGGAGGGCCCAGTCCTGTTCAACTGGCGACAGGAGCTGCACACCAGGGAAGGCACTGCACGGAGGCGACAGGGACTAGGTGGGGCCTGGTCCCCGGAAGCACACAGCTCTCACCTTCATGCGGTCGTACTTGTCGTCCACGTCCTGCAGCCAGGAGATGAACTGGCGAGCATTGAATCGGTCCCGCACTGACTTGTTCTCATCCCCCTGTGGAAAGAGCCATAGGGGACTCAGGATGCACGGGCCAGGAAGGGGTGATCGCCCTGCACTGTCCTCCCAGGAGCCAGGAGCCATGGTGGGCAGCCCCAGGCTGAGGGGAAGGGGCTGCTGCACCTCTGCCTACCCCAGGACGGCTGAGCAAGGGCCCTGGGAGACACATTTTGCTGTCTGCTGCCTCAGGATGGCATCTTCCAACTCCTACCCTTTCCATACAATGAAATAACTGATGTTCTTTGCAAAGAGGGTGTGACAGACTGAAGATCCGGCTTCCCTGTCCATCTTTACAGCCTAGGACACAAACTTCCTTGCCCAATCTTGTCTTCACTGAACCAGCCTGGGTCGGAACTGGGGGCAGGGCTTCGTGGAAGCCCCTGGAGGACAACGAGCTGGGTGCTGCGCACTGGCTGCGGGCTCTGAATCGCAGAGTTGGTCTGTTGCGGGGTGGGGGGTGGAGGCCTTGACTTAGCCCTGCCAGTATGTGAACTGTGAGCCTTGACCTCAGGGTGCAGATGCCCAGACAAACCCTGGGGTGCTCACAGAAGCAACTATGGCCTGACTCTATGACCTTCAACAGCAACCCCTGTAATTACTAACAACTCATGGTTTTCTTTCTTTTGGATGTAAAAAGCAAAACTTCCCGACAGCAAATCTTAACACCTGATGCACACAATGATGAACACTATGTGTTACTGAAAACCTGCTGTTAAGTGCACAATGCAAGATGGAAAAGTGTCCACACCCCCAGGGCGGAGATCTGTAAAGCAAACCCACAACCCCAAGACTCAGAGGACAGAGGAAAACCAGAGCCACACCATGAGCGCCTCAGACATGGATGTGCCAAGAGCTCCTGAGGCTGGGCATCCTTGGCTTCAGCCTGCTGCAGACCTGCCCTAGTTTCCACAGGGGAGAAGCCTCAGCCCATCTGGGCCCTGCAGCCACCACCTGCTGCCCAGGGCCATTAGTGTGCCAGGCCCACTGCTCCTCAGGAAGTTTAATTAGAAAACAGAGTGGCACCTGCCCCAAGTGGGAAGGAAGGGTGACTCTGCTGCTAGAAGTGTGCATGTGGCTCACCCCTTCATGCCACTCTTCCTGCCCGTTCTGTGGCTACAGGCAGAGAGGCGACCCTCCAGGGTTGCGGGGTGCCATGCAAGATGGTGTTGAGCTGGCTGAACAGTGTGTGTGGATGGCTGTTTCCTGCTGTGCTGTCTGCTATACAAAGCCGCAGACTCCTGGGAGTGTCTTTAGGAATGGCCACCCACCTGGCTTTCCAGGGGCATGTTGTAGACCTCAGAGTCCAGCAGCATCGTGCAGGCGCTGAAGGGCACTGCCTGGTTGGCGATAGTCCGGGCTGCGCGGCAGTGGACCCTTAGGATCTCCTGTTCACAGGACACGATGAGCTTCTCCTGGGAGCAGAGGCATGGTGTGAATGTTGGCAACCAGTACCAGGCCCCTGTGCCCGGGCCTCATCTTACCCGCTCGATACTGTGCTGTAGACGCAGCTTTCCTCGAACAGCTTCCTGTTGCTTGAAGAGCTCCTTCAGGGGTTCCGCCAGGGAAGGCGGGGGTGCGATCTGTGGGCCATGAGAGGGGTCAGCAGGGCCATGGGTGCACTCAACCCGGAAGCCTCCTTGGGACACACTTGTCCCCAAGCCCCAAGGTGACAGTGTGAAGGGAACAGCAGAGAACAGAGTGCCTGTCAGAGTGCAGGAAGGGGAGGAGGCTGAGACACAGTAGGAGTGCCAGTGTCTGGGCAGGACAGCCCTGCAGTCTGAGGCAGGCAGGGGGCAAAGCCCACCCATGCCCACACTCGGGTGAGCAGGACACCGCAGATTGGAGAGGTGGAGAGAGGAGATCTGCCCTGAAGAACCCACATGGCGATGGCAGGGCAGCTCACAATTGGGACCAGACACCTGGCAGGCAGAGCTTGGATGGCCTGTACTCTGAAAGTCGGTGAAGCTGGAGGGGTGACAACTGCTGATGGCAGAGTTCTGATGAGTCGGTGTGCAGAAGTGACAAGTACAGAAGCTCCACCGTGGATGCTGCCTTAACAGGCAAGAATTGGAGGGGAGGGAGCTCCCTATCCACACCTGCCCATGCTCCCAATCAGTGTTCGGGTCCCAATGCGAGTGTGGGACTCTCATGCACACTACAAGCTCTCAGCCCGCGCCCTGGGAGGCCCTGCTGTGCTCCTGAACAGGGAGAACCACCACAGACCCTGCCTTGGAGGACTCTCACTCAGACCCGCCCTGCCACCCACAGGCACCCTGTCCAGCACACACTCTGCTCTGCTGAGCCCAGGCCCTGGGACAGCTGAGTTCTGAGGGGCTGTGGCCTCTGGGCAGGGAGGCTCTTGATGAGTAGTAGGGCACAGATGCCCTGCTGGAGCAAGCAAGCACAGGGCCTGCTGCCCTCCTCTGCCTGCTGGCCTGCCCAGGACGCCTGATGCATGAGGCTGGTCCTGCTCACTTCATGTGAGGGTGACATGACCACACTGGCAAGGGCTGCTCCGTGGCAGGGGCTCAGTGATTGTTCTTTTTGTTTTGACAATGCAACTTTATTTTATTTTATTTGTTTTTTGTCTTTTCGAGACAGGGTTTTGCTATGCAGTTCAGGCTGGCCTTGAGCTCACTTTGTAGCCCAGGCTGGTCTTGAACTCGAAACCACACTCCTGCCTCAGCCTCCTGAGTGCTGGGATTACAGGTGTGAGCCACCACGCCTGGCTGACAATAAAACTTGAGATAAAAGGAAGCACAGGTCTCACAGAATCGAAGTCTTAGGGCTCTGATTGCCCTGAACTGAGCCCAGGTCCTGTGATCAAGTATATGGACCACCTGCTGGGCTCAAGCATGGTGCACCTGTGGGAAAAGCCCAGCCTCCTGTGGACAGCGTGCTGCAGAGATGCGAGCCCAGAATGCCACAGGAGGGATGGGGCAGAGCGGATGCTGCAGCACTGTCCTCTCTACCCTCACCCTGGGCCCAAGGAGCCAGCTGGCAGAGGGGCTGGGCTGCCAGGGGAAACAGCCTATTCTGCCAAGCAGCTGCTGGCAACAGGACCAAGAGCCTGCCAAGCAGCCTTGTTTCCTCTAGGGCTGGGTAAACATGAGTGTAGCAGGAAGGAGAGCTCCCTCTCTGCCAGGCATGAGGAGGAAGCCGCCACAGGATAGGGTACTGCTGGCCAGGAGGGAACAGAGACCCACAGAATGCTTGGGAGGCTTTGTGCTACTTAGCCCTTGGCTGGGGCCAGGGCAGGGCTGGGTGGAGTGGTAGTGGCTGCCACCCTAAAAGCCCCAGGAGGGAGTCAGAAGTGGGCACACAACCCACTCAGCCAGACAATTCAGGAATGCTGGAGACCATGCTGACCCAGGGAGAGCTGGAGGTGGGGCTGAAGCCTGCTGTGGCCTTTCCCTGTGAAGGCAATTTGGCAAAAGAGGGGGTGCAGTGCAGGTGCCCTTGGGGAAGGCGGTGGCCTGAAGAGCAGCCCCAAATGGCTGGGTGTGTGGCACTAGTGGCTTTGCTGCCCAGTGACCATGCAGTGCTGACCCTGACAAATGACTGCAAAGTGTGTCAGGGCCCTGGGGCTCTGCACTTGGCACCTGGGTGCCCAGCCGTCAGAGGATGGCACTCACCACAGGTATGTGGAGCTTGCTGAGCGGCTTGCCATCTAGGAGGTAGGACCCCGTGTAGGTGACGTACTCAGCGTAGCACTGGGGCGCCTGCGGGGTGATGTAGCAGAGGATCTTGCGCTTCTCTTCGATCTTCTTTCTGATCTGAAGGTACTCAAAGTATGGGTTGGATCTATCACTGTGATAGGGCTCAATGTCATCCAGCTTGATGGCATCCACAATGGCGGCCAGTGTCTGCTGGATGACCTCCCGAGTCTGCTGTGTGGATGTGTGCAGTTGCTGCTGCAGCTGCTGGCTGGAGCGCTGGAAGCGGCGCTTGCGTGGGTGCTGGGCCTGGGCATCCTCTTCCTCAGGGGCACGGGCCTTGGCACGGGAGGGTGGCGTGGGTGTGGGCGTGGGCTCCTTCTCCGCAGGCAGCGTGCCCTGCTTGCTCTGACTGGCCAGCATCTGGGCCCGGTTCCTGGTCATGCGCTGAGGGACTTCCTCCACCCGGGGGGCCTTGGGGGCTTCGGCTGCAGGCCTGGGTTCTGGCTCTGCAGCTTCTGGCTGCACACTGCCTGGAGGGCTCTCAGCTGGGGTGGCAGCAGAGGTGGCCTCTGAACCATCGTGGGCCTGTGGAGGGGCATCTTGGGTAGGGTCATTAGGGGTACAATGGGGAGCAGCTGAGGGGCCTTCGGCCTCGACCTCAACCTCATCCCCGCCCTCCAGGGGACACTGTTCTGGGGCGCTAGACACAGGTGCTGCACTGGAGTCCGGGTTCTCAGGGACCTGCTCGTCTGCCACTGCTTCTGCTTCCACAGTGGCTTCCAGAACCACGTCCAGCTTTGACTCCTCTGAGGGTTTGAGCTCAGTGGAGAGTCGGGGGGTGGTCTGTTCAGGAGGGGGCACTGGCTGCTCCTCAGCCACAGCTCCAGGGCCGTCCCCTTCGCTGCCGACCCCAGAGGGCACAGGGAGGGTCCCCCCTGTAGGAGCAGGGCTCCCTTCCGCAGGCTCCGTTTCAACATCAGGGGCGTCCTTGGGCTGGAGAGGGAGTTCCGGCAGTGAGAAGGGGCCGAGGTCCAGATCGTCCTCGGCACTGGTGAAGGCGTCATGCCAGGGCACGGGCTCCACCTGGCCAAGGGCAGCTAGGCTGTGCCCATTGTCCAGGAAGCTGCTCTCCAGGGCCCCAAGAGCCTCCACCTGGGCCCCCGTGGAGACACAGGTGGGCTCGGGCGCCTGGTCAAGGGGCGCGTCTGGAAGTGGCTTGCAGCTGCCGAAGAAGGACTCGAGCCTGGAAGGGGTGGTGTAAGGTGCAGCCTCTTCAGTGGCCACAGGGATGGCTCCCACCCCATCCTCTTTGACTTCCTCCAGGCCTGGCTCGGCTGTGGGCAGAGGGTAGGAGACGGGAGAGACAGGGTACGGGGGCTCTGCAGTGCTAAAGGGCCCTGGGGTGGCGGTGTGGAGGGATTCAGCAGAGCAGTAACGTTTTGGGGACTCTGGGAACCTCTGAGGGGACTTCAGCAAGAAGTCAGCACCCACGGGCCAGCTGACAGGGTTTTCAGAGGCACCGGTGACGAGGGAGGAAGAAAGGGCCTGCTCGGCAGTGGAGTGTGCCCACTCCACAGGCTCCTCGGTGATGACAGTGCTGAAGGGGCCCTCGTCCAAGGGCTCCAGGTAGCTGGGCTCTGGGGGGATGATGGCAGCTGTGGCCTGCTGGTCCTCTGTGGCATCCAGAGGGAGGCCCAGGTCTGGGGGAAGGGCCCCCTCTACAGCCGGGGCTAACAGCTCCCCCCTGGGTGGAGAGGCTTTGGCTGGTAAACCAGAGAAGACCACCTCAGGGGAGGGCGTGGTTCCGACTGTGGAGGCAGGGGGGCAGTGCAGACCGTCCACCTTGGGCGAGGGGATGCCGTAGTCTGGGGAGTAATACCCTGGGGACAGGCAAGCAAACTTATCCACGGGGACTGGCGGTAGTGGGGTTTTGTCTTCCAGCAGGTGCTGCACAGGGGAGTCGAAGCTGGAGGCTGCAGGCACACTCTGCTGCCTGAACAGCTTGTCCCCAACGCTGAACTCCTCCTCAGGGGTCCTCCTGATGTCCACAGAGATGGAGCGGTACAGATTGGTGGAGACAGGCCTCGTGGGTGTCTGGCTTGGGTTTTCAGAAACCCCACCAGAAGCCACGGAGAACCTGTCAAAAAACGGCGGTGAGCAGGTGCTGGTGGACGTAGCGGAGACGGGCATTGAGTGCTGGGAGTCGGTGCAGTCGAACACGAGGTCGGGGTAGTCGTCAGCGCTGCAGGACGGTGTCCTGGGTGTGTGCATGACCTCCTCATAGCTGGGGCACGATACCACTGAGGTGGGAGTGGGCACCCCGGTGGGCCGGCTCTGCTCAGGCCGGGGCGAGGCGGGCAAGACCTCCTTAAGGGACGGCCCTGCCAGCCAGTCTTTGCACTCTGCCCCCAGCCCTGGCTTGTTCTCAGTGGCAGGTGGTGTGGGAGCAGGGTCTTTGAGCTTCTTCTCCTTCGAGGGAGGCTCTGGCCCCGGGGGTTTCTTAGGAGGGGCTTCCAGGCTCTTCTTCCGCCCATCCTCAGGGGGCTTTGCCTTGTCCTTGAGCTTGGGGTCCCCAGACCTGTGCCGCATCTTCTCCATCTGCTTCATGCGCTCTTTGTGCCGCTTGTGGCGCTCCTCGATCTCCAGGTCCTTCTGGGACAGCATCCTCTCGAAGCTTGTCATCATCAGGTCACCGTCTCCCAGGAGCTTCTCCCGGGGCCGGGTGTCCTTCTTCCCCGGATCTCTGGCCAGCGGTGGCTTGTCGTTGCCATTGCTGATCTTCACCAAGTCGGCCTTCTCTCGCTCGGCGTTCTCCCTCAACTTCTCCTTCGGCTTGGCCTCGCCGAGCTTCAGGCCTTCCTCCCTGGCCTTCTCCTTGAAGGAGTTGGGGGCACTGTCCTTGTCCTTGGCGGCAGGCTTTGGCTCGTCCTTGTGGTGCTTGAGGAAGCCGTCCGCGTGCTTCTCTCGGTGCTTCTCCTTCTCGTCTCGCCACCTCTCTCTGTGTTTCTCTCTCTTCTTTTTCTCCTTCAGGATGCTAATGGCACTGGAGCCGTAAGGCTTTAGTTCTTTCTCTATTTTCTTGGAAGGCTCTCTCTCAGAATCATTCCTCTCTTTCTTTTCGGTGGAAAATATTTCGATGGTCTTCTCCAGCTCGTCGTCAATGTCAGCTTTCACCGTGTAGGAGGTGGTATAGGCCTCCGCCTCCAGGAAGTCCTTCTCATACTGGCTGGAGTCCTTCCTGGTGCCGCCATCCTTGTAGTCCTCACCTTTCTCTTTCTTCTCGGCCTTCTCCTTCTTGGCTCGCTCGCGGTCGTGGCTCTTCTTGGAGGACGATGAGGAGTGCCTGTGCCGCTCCTTGTCCCTCAGCTTCTCAGTGAGGCAGGTCTCTCTGGCCTTGTCGTCAGGTGGCTCTGAGAAGGACACCTCCAGCAGGGCGCTCAGGCCCGGCTCCGGGCCCCGGTCTGTGAAGCTGTCTGACGAGACCTCGCTGGCTTTGTCGTTGGAGTCCTCCCGGTACTCGTGCAGCGCCTCCTCCTCCAGCTTCTCCAGCAGGCTCTTCTCCGCCTCGGGGCCCCGCGAGCCCTTCCTCTCCTTGGCATGCTCTTTCTCCGGCTTCTCCTTGTGCTTGCTCTTGGCCTTGTCCTCAGTGGAGTGCTTCTTCTCCACCTTCTCAGGGAGCTTCTGTTTGTTCTTCTTTTCCTGGGTGGAGTCGACGGACACCCTGTCTTTCCGGTCCTTGTATCTCTCTGCACACTCTTTGTCCTTCTTCTCTCGGTGCTTCTCAAAGATCTTATCCTTCTTGTCCCGCCCACCTTCAACAGCAGCCCTGTCTTTCTTCTTCTCTTTGGGCTCTTTCTCTCTGGGCTTCTCCGGGTGCTGCCGGTCAGAGGAGGACTTCCGGTGTCTATCCGAGAGGTGCGGCTCTCGCCCGTCCTCCTTGTCCTGGGGGCTGTCCCCCCTCTGCGTGTCCCCGGCCTCCCCAACCTTGAACCCACTGGCCACATAGTCATCTTTCTCATCTTCACTTTCATCGGTGAATATGTCGGCAATGTACCAGCTCTTCTCTTTCCCTTTCTTTTCATCTTTTTTTTCAGAGAAGTCCTCTGAGAGAAGGCCTGGGAACATCTTCTCCTTCTTGTCTCTCGCTGGGTCAAGGGATGCTTTCCTGTCTTTGCTGTGGGCCTCTTTATGCTTTTCCTTGCCATCTTTCTTTTCCTTGAAACATTTATCAAATTCTTTGTCTTTCTGGCATTTCTCAAGGACTGATTTCTCACCCTTGTCCCTGTCCAGCGCCTTGTCTTTGTACTTTTCTGCCCGCATCTTTTCCTTTCTCTCCTTCTCCCGTGCAGCGTGGTGCCGTTCCCAGGGCTCCAGGCCCTTGGCCAGCTCACAGTCTGGCTTGTCCCTGAAAGCGCTCTCGCAGCTGCAGTCCTTCAAGTCCTCTCGATGCGCCTCCTCGGGCCGCAGGCGGGCGTCCCTGCGCTCCCGGGAGCCGTCCAAGCCGTCCCTCCGGTCCCGCCCAGCCTCGGCGGACTCCCTCCTCCTCTTGTCCTTCTCAGAGAGGTAGCTGGGGATGCCTTTATGCTTCTCCGTCTGGTCTCTCCTTTTCTCAGAGTTCTTGTCCAGATAGTCTCTGTCTTTCTTTCGGAAGAAAGAGTCTCTGAAATCCCGCTTCTCCCGGGCTCTGATGTCACGCTTCTTCTCCTTACTGTCCTCTTTCACTGTCTCTAAGATGAGTTTAGCCACAGAGTCACTCTTGATGTCCCTGTAGTCTGTCACTGGGGAGTCCCAGCTGTCTTCCCCTTTGAAATCAAAGGAGGAATCAGACAGGTCAGAAAACCACCTCTCTGGCTGATCATCGGAAAGGCTGAATTTGGAGTCCTCGTTCTCCAGAAACTGAGTCTTGCCGCAGTACTCATCGAAGGAAGCATCATCCCGGTAACCCCTTTCCTTTTTCAGCTTCTCCTTCTCCTTGCAAGTTCTGTCCTCTTTCACCTCGTTCTTCTTCTCTAACTTGGAGGGCCGGTCTTTGGACTTTTTTTTCCGCTCCTCTTTGTACAGCCTCAGCTTTTCCTCTTTGGGGGACTTTTCCTTCATGGTCTTCTCCCTCTCTGCTTTACTGGACCGGTCTTTCTCTTCCCGGAAGGACCTCCCGATGTCTTTGGCCCTCTTTAGTGACTTCTCATCTTTCGAGACCTTAAGAATCTCCTCTTTGAAGAGCCACTCCTTGTCTTCAGATTTCAGCTTGCCGAGTTTCTCTTCTTTCTTAAAATGGTCTCGGTCGTGCTTCAGCACCTTCAGCTTTTCTGGAGCAATGTCGTTGTCTAAAAGGATAGCCTTATCTGGCTTCTGCTTGGAGTCCTCATATTCATACGTAAAGCTTTTAAGTTTAAGCTCCTGGCTCACTGAACACTGCCCCTTCTCCTTATTTTTGTGTTTGTGTTTTGTTTTGTGTTTTTTGACGACTTTGCCCTCTTTGTCCAGCTTGGGCACGGCGCCATCCGTGCTGGGGTGGCAGATACCCCGCTTCTCTGGTGGCACGCTTGGCAGACTGGCCCTCTTGCGGAGCCCCTGCTTCCTCCTAGTGGGCTTCAGGGACTCCACACTGGAACCCTCAGAGGGGCAGTCAGACTCACTCGTCAGTCCTGTCCGTGAGGAGTCTGACAGAGAGCTGACCTCGGACCAGGCTGGAGAAGAGATGGCTTTCCAGTTGTCCGTGCGCCAGTGCTTGTTGTGCTGGTCGCTATGGTTGGCGCTGTGCTTTGGGGCCACAGCACTGCCGTGGGAGGAGGTGGAGGAGGCAGACAGTGAACTGAACAAGGAGGGGTCCTTCAGCACCAGCGGGGACCCCTTGAGGCAGCCTGTGCTCCCCACAGAGTCCCCATCCTCCTCCTCGCTCTCGGAGGACTCGCTCTCCGACTCGGAGGAACAGAACTTGTCATTTCTCTTTCCGAACCGAACTTCTTTGCTTTTTGCTTCTTTCTTTCGCTTCTTCTTCACTTTGTTTTTCTCCTTCTGCTGCCTGGAGTTGGATGGCTCCCGCACCTTGCTGCTGGGCAGTATGGAGTGTGCAGACAGCCTCAGCTTCTCCGAGGCGCCAACAGTGAGGCTTGTGTCCTCCTCATCAGAAGTGTCTGACAGGATGCGATGGGACGCTTTCTTTGGTGCAATCGTGTTGTTCTTAGAGTAACTCTTAACTTCCATTTTGGGTATTGAAATGAAACTGTTGGACTTAGTCTCTTTCCTGTAATCCTTCTTTAGCAAGTGCTTGTCATCCACTGGGGGGACCCTGTCCTGCTCATCGTCCTCGTCAAACTCATACTCGTCCTTGACAGGGGTCACAGTCTTCTGTGGCTCTGGATTCTTGGCCTTGAGCTTCAGGCCTTTCTCAAACTCAGAGTCCGTGTTATTGCCATCAACTGAGCTAGACGGTGCAAATGATGGGGCGTCCTCCTCCTCAGAGCTCTCTGTTGGAACAGGAAAGGAGAAGTCAGCAGGTGCAGACTGCTCCCCCAAAAGGGCAGGGAGCTCTGTAGCTGTGGGTCCCTAAGCAGACAGGCTGGCAGCCTTTGCTTCTGCAGAAGTGCCCCTCTTGACCTGGTCCTGTCTGAGGCCAACCTTGGTCAGGAGGAGTCCAGAGAGGTCTAGCAAAGACAGGGCTCAGGTCCCTGAAAGGGCCAAGCCTCCAAGGAGGACAGAGACCCTGTGTGGCAACACGGCTACACTGCAGCTGTGAAGCAAACACCCACCCTCACTGCTTACCAGTGGAGCTCTCCTCACTGGATGTGTAGGTGCCTTTGCCTAACAGCAGATTCACCATCGTGGGGGAACTGGCCACTTTCAGTGGGGTCTCGCCTTTCCGATTGCTCTGCTGAGGATTCCCCCCATACCGTAACAACAGCTTCACCACCTACGAGACATTGAGGACTGAGTCAGGGAGCCGAAGGACGAAACTGCTCTGCTGCCCTGCACAAACAGCAGCCCAGTACAGGGGCCCCAATGTGGACTCCCAAGCAGCCCAGAGGTGCAGGTACGGGGAGGGGAGCCCAGCAGCCAGGGCAAGGGGCGTGGCTGGCTGGGTCCACTGCCAGCACACTCTGCTTGACTGCTTCATCTCCTATAGCCCAGTAGTCTTCTCATGAGGCCCTGTACCATGTGGATCCTGTGAGTGGCTGCCCAGAATCTGGGAGTTTAGAGGGAATTTTCACTGGGGAACAGCAGAGCACAGAATAGAGGAAACAAAGACCAAGTTTCTGCAAACTGGTTTATTTATTTCCATTTACATTAGAAAATAAAATGAGCTCTTTCTTGCTTGATTTTAGACTACAGGAGCCCCAAACATTACAGGTGATGTTTCAATAGCTCCGTTCAGTCATTTAGAATCCATGACCTAGGATAGCAACTTGCTGAACAAACTGTGAGGCTGCCACCAGCCTGCCGGGCCTATGGCCTTTTCCTAAGGCCTGCCAAGTAGGCCGAGCATTCTCGGGCCTCAAGGCCCTAAAAAAAGAGGAATCTAAACATAACCATTATGTTTGTGACCTTCCCTAAACACCAGATAACACTACCAAATATGCACTCATGTTCCAGTCATCTGTCTAGTTGTCTCGGAAACCCTCCCACTCGAGCCCCGCACACAGCAAGCCTGCTCCGCGCTGTGCTGTCAGATCCTGGGCACCTTCACAACATGGCAGGAGGAGCTGCTGTGGGGCACTCCGAGCAACAAAGGACGCGTCCTCACCATGTGCAGACTGCTTGATCTTTGTGGCCTCTCAAAGGGACCCTGTGGTTTGTGTCCCGCTCTCCAGCGGCAAGAGGCGGATGGTATAGCCTGTGTTTCTGTTTCCGATCTGGAGGTAGCCCTTCCCCGGGGGCTGAGCTTGAGGGCACCATGCCATGTGCTGCTTGTGCCTCCTTCCCTCTGGGTCAGACAGTAATTTGACAGGGAGACGGCAGTGTGTGTGTGGCTGTCCTTCCTCTTGTGTGCAACTGTTCACCCGCTAAGTTCAGCCAGACCCACATGGCCAAAGAGTAACCTTGGGATGTGCTACAGTGCTGCTGCCTTTGGAACTGTGAAGGCCGTCCTGACACAGCCCAAGATGCAAAGTTGGGAGCAGAGGAGGACGGAGGGGCCTTTGAGGCAAGTAAGGCCAACACGCCCCAGATATTCGGGGGAGGGCTATAGGACAGAGAAATGCAACACTGTGGGATGGTTCTGAAGTCAGAGCACAGAGCAGGCGTGGGAGTGTGCCAACCTTGTAGTGGCCATTGTTGGCGGCATCATGCAAGGGTGTGTCATCATCCAGGCCCTTGGTGTTCACCTCCGCACCTGCAGCCAGCAGCTGCTTTGCGACATCGTAGTAGCCCCGGTTACACGCCTCATGCAGCGCCGTCCAGCCTGGAAATAGACACTTAGGACATACGTTACTTAATCCTTGAGAGCCTCACTCCTGCCGACGAGCTCCAGGACAAGGACTGGGGCGAGGCCTGCTGTGGTAGCATGTGTACCTAGCCCAATCCTGGGTTGCTCCCTGCAGATCAATAACCTGCACCAACAACCCTCCAAGCGTAGGAAGCCCAAGCCTGCAACTGTGCCTCACCCAGCTCACCAGCCAATTCACACAAGGCAGAAACCCTGGGACCTCACACATGCCAGGCAAGTGCCCTACCACTGAGCTGCACCCCCAACCCCTTTTATTTTTCAATTTAAGAGGTAAAGCCTAACTTTCCCATCCTTGTCTTAAACATGTAATCCCCCTGCATCAGCCTAAGTGGGACTGTAAGTGTGCACCATTGTGCTCTGGCTGAGAATCCCCTTGCTATCTGCACAGCTGCTAGACACACCTGGGTTCAGGCCCAGGAAGCTGGAGAACAGGGGCAGGCAGTGAGGTCCCACAATGCAATGCGCGGCAGGCCTCAGCCTGCCCACAAGAAGCATCAGTGCTTTGGCACTGGTTCATTTGAGGTCTCACGGGAGGCGAGGGTGTGTGAGGAGACTGGAGAATGAACTAGAGCCTTCCTATGCTCTGAGCTACAGCCTAGGTCTTATGACAAACAGAAAAAAGAACTAATTTTTGGAAACAGGATTTTGCTAGATCATTAAACTGCCCAGGCTGGGCTGGAACTGTGATCCTCCTGCCTCAGCCCTCCAGAGCAAGGAGACTGCAGTAGGTGTGATGATGCCTGGCTGAGAAAACTTTAAAATCATATAACTAACAACTCGGGCCGTAATCCTGCACCTCCATCTTCACTCACTGTGAGGAACAGCTCTGGAGGGCACAGGGTACACCTTGGTGTAGTGGTGCGTGTCAAATCAAAGGTAGCACAGACTCTACCCAGAGTCCTTCAAGCCAAGGCCCTGGCCCATACTGACTCTAGTCTGGGGACAGCCCACATCTGTCTTAATTTAAAAGGTGACACATCATCTGGCTGTGCCTCCCAGAGGGACCCTGTCTTTCTAAGCAGTTGCAGGATGAAGACACAGCTGGGTTCACAGCACAGCAGCGCCCTCTGCTGGACAAGCGCTTCTTCCTAAGCACACAGGAGAAAGATCTTGCTTGTCAAGGGACTGGGACTGTGGTTGATACTCGTAACACAGCAGTATAAATACTTTTAATCTCTTACTTCTCTTAAGAACAGCAAAAAAAGAAGGTGATTATTTTGAAATACATCCCCAGACATGCCCTCCTCCCTCAGAGGCAGCTGTTGACTCCTTAGGTACAGTGACACGGGCCCTGGGCCCTGGGGAACAGAGGGTAGACTCAGCCTGGCGCCTTGCAGCTGCAGCGCCGTGCTTGTGTCCCTGCATGGACGCTCAGGCACGATCAGCTTGACTGGCTGGTGCTTACCTGCAAAGTCCTTGACATTGACATCCGCACCCTCGTTGATGAGCTCCTTGATGCGCCGGGCATCACCTCGAATAGCGGCCCGGTGCAGGCGGGTCTCCCCTCGCTCATTTCTTTTGTTCACTTTATCTTTGGTTTTTGAGGCAGAGTTAGGCGTCCCCTTCTGACATACTGTAGACTGGGAGGGGTGCTTTGGTGTTGTGTCTACTGTAGGTCAAGGAAGGGACAGGCAGGGCATTACTGGAGGCAGGGGTGCTTGGTGGAAGCAGAGAACCTGTTAGCTCTCCCCAGATAGATGCAGGGGATCAGGGGGACCAGCCCCTCAACCCCAGGGACCACCTGGCCCAGCATACCTGGACTGTTGGCAGACTCCTCAGCTGTCATCTGCATAAGAAGAGCCACCTGCTGGCGCTCGGAGAGTGGGTAGCCTGCCCGGATCCCAGACAACCCCATGCCAAACAACAGCCCTGATTTGCGGGCCACGGGCTCCTTCTTGATCCTCTTCCGCTCGGGACCCTGCTTCTCTGTGTGGCAGGTGAGGGAGAGAGGAGGGGACACATTCATGCCAAGTCCTCAGAGCTCAGAGCCATCAACAGCATCACAGAGCCCTGCATCAATCCCACAGCTTACAGAGCATGGGGTGGGCCATGCAAGGGCGGGCGGTGGGAGGCAGCAGGCAGGCTGCCCTGGGAGACGCAAATCCGTGAGGCGGCCAGTTGGTCTCTAACCATGCTCCTGGTGCAACCTTCCTGTGTGTCACCTGTGCTGCACACAGGGTGCTGGGTCCATGGAGGCAGCTGAGCTACATGCCCTTGCCTACATGCCCTGTGAGCACACATGTGGGCACTTGAGCGTGCCTTCCCAGCCCCTCCTCAAAATTGTGCAGACACGGTGTAAAAATACAGATGTAAACGAAGGCCGAATTGTCAGCTCTGTGCCTTTCTTCTCCCTTCTAGGAACCTTAGCTGTATATCCTGATCTTCGAGGAGTGCACCAGCCTTGCAGTGCCACCACACAGACTGAGCCTGGGACATCGAAAGGCACCAATGCAGGGCATTCACAGATATAGGCCACAGCTTGCTGCCTCCTGGCCAGCAAGTCCCAGCCAGACGCCCTGCCTACCTTCTGTCAGAAGGACTGACTGTGCTGTTTCCCTTGCGCAAGCTTACATTCCTCCTGCCCAGGCAATAGGCACACACTGAGGGCAGGCGTTGCCAAGGAAGTCCTGCATGGCAGCTGCTTCCTTTCCACCTCACTTGTCCCGGAAGCCCTGTGTAGAGTGGGACATGCGCTTGGCAGCACCTGGGACTAGGGAGGCAGGGGAGTGGCCTGTGAGGGTCCTGTCTCCATCTCTCAGGAGGCGGCTGCCAGGCCTTAGGACAGACACCCTCTGTCCACCATTGTCCAGGCAGTTCCCATCAGATGACCTGTGGCTCTTTGTGAAGAATGTTAGCTGCCTCAGTTTATGAGGTTCTGAGAATGCTGTCTTGGGTTTCTGGAAACAAGCCCGTGGGGAACAAACCACCGAATGACATCTTGTTTTTTTCCAATATGCAACACAACTCCCTGAATCCTGCCAACTTGTTTTTACACAAGCCACACAGATCTGAGAGGAAGAGAACCCCACGAAGAATGTGAGTGCTGGTCCTGGCCAGGCTGTGCTGTGCCATGCCAAGGGGGCTGAGCACACCTGCCCCACATCTGCCAACCACATCCTCCTGACAATAGAAGTCAGGCCGGGGGACACTAGACCTGCTGCCCCCGAACCTGCCCATAGTCTCACGATGTAGGGTACCCTAGCGTGGGGCCTGGAAGCCCATGGCAAGACACCTGCCCTGTCACGTGAGTAGTGGAAGATGATGTGTAGGAGACAGAAGACCTGCTGAGAACCACCAGAGCTGTCCGAGACTGCACATGAAGTGGCAGAGTCCCTGCTGTGGAGATGTGATACTATATCTCATTGCTCCAGGGGTCAGCCCTGTGTCTGTGCTGGGCATGGACGGTCTATCTAGTTGTCCAGAGACCCCACAGCACAGATTATTACTGAAATAGCATCTTGCGCTCTGTTCAAACTCCTGAGCTTAAGCAATCTTTCGGACACAGCCTCCCAAGTAGCAGGTGTTATTTTTAAGAAATCAAAATGTGTCAGGCAGAGCACCCAGGGGGAATACACTCTTCAGAAGGTCATCTAGGATGGTCAGCTAAGCCCACCTTTTCCCTGGAGGTCAGCTGAGAGTGGCAGGCAGTCAGGGTCACAACGTCTGGGCATCCATCCCTGCGTCAGCCAGTCTTCTCATGCAGTCTTGTCAAGATGGGTTAAGCTCACTGCTTCTGCTTGACCAAAGGGGTGCCTGGTGACTGGCACCCATTCCTATCCCAGCCTCCTGGGGAGGAGCTTGTACCCAGCTCCTGCATACTTCTCATACCTGGCCCTTCAACTGGATGTTTACTGTTCCAACCAAAACCCAGCCTGAAACCTGACCCTGTTGTTGGCTGCAAGGACAGTGTTTTCCAGCACCTGCACCTACAGCACCTGCTTCCGATAAGGGCCACCTCTGACGCTGCCAAGCCGGTCCCCCTGGCCTGTTGGAACTGCTGGCCACAGCTGGGGATAATCAGTAGTTTTGCTGGCAGCTTGCTCACTTTTTATATTATCTAAAGGAAAGCAAAGTAGAGTGTGTATAAATTCCAAGTGGTATCTGCAAAGAGAGAGTGAGTCAAGGAAGTGACCCAGTGTGTACCATGTGGGAGTCCTGGGAGCACCCACAGATCATACCTATGACCAGAATTATGGAAGGAATTACATTCATGAAGCAAGGTACAAACCCATTGAGACACAGCCCCAGTCCTCTAAAAAATTTTCTAAAATCCTGAGACACTCTTGCCAAGCTGCCCCAGCTGGTCTCCAACTTGCAAGTCTCCTACCTGAGCCTCTCAGAATATTGGGACTGCAGGATCACACCCAGCTTCTGGAGCACCTTTCTACACACACACACACACACACACGCGCGCTTTGCTGCTGCCCTTGTCCTTCCCTAGCACTGCTGGATGTCAGCCCTGGCCTATCCTGAGGAGCCCACTTCCTGTCAAGGCACCCACTGGAGAGAAGGCCTTGTGGGGATGCAGGTACTCTGGGCAACCTAGGCCGGACTCTGGAGTGCAGTGGGTACCTCTCTGTGATGTCCGGACCTCACGTCAGCAGCGCTGGGCCCCGCTCGTGCTTCCTGGCCTCCCTCTGACCGGGAACCCTCGTACTTTCCACTACTGTTCTCACCACTGCCTCCCTCAGTTTGTCCTGTGCTGCTATCTAGGTAATTTCTTCAGTCGTGACTTCTAATTCACTAATTCCTTTTTATGTTGTCTCTAATAAGCTACAGAGTCTGGCCACTGAGTTTTAAATTTGATATTACTATTTCCATTTTCAGATGTTTCATCTGCTACTCTAAATCTACGTAACTTTTCTGACAGCTGACTTCTTGCTCCCATTTTTAGATTGCTCCTATTGCGTTCTTCCCATTTTCACGTGGCACCTCACAGTTCCAGGTGGTGTTTCTGAGCTAGCCCTATAGAACCTCTCGGGATGCTCTGTGTCTCTAATTCTGTGCAGGTGCCTGCATCTGGTTATGCTCTGCACCCAAGGAGGCTATCTCTCTGCTCAGGGGCAGTGGGGAGCTCAAAGTTGCAAAGCCTAAACACAGCCCTGACAGCAAAGGAAGCAGGGGACAGAAGCCTTTCATCTCTCTAGCACCTGCTAAGAGAGACAGAGGGCCTGAGGTGGGGGCAATGACTTCTGTGTAAGTATGTTACACCTCAGCTCATTTCAAAGCACTGCTCTGCATTTAGCATCTCTAATTTTAGGCTTTTCTAGAGCTTTTAGGAGACAGAGTCCACTGCACTGCCTACACAGGAACATCTCTAACTGCTCTGTGCGGCTGTCAAAGAATTCGGAAGTACCAGTACACCCAAGATTCTGCTCTGGGGAGAAGCATTTTCAAGGTGGATTTTGAAATAACAGGAAGCTCCCTGCCTGTGTCAGGGAACAATTTCCCTGCTCTCCTGCCAAGTGGCGAATGACTCCCTTTTATTTCACTTGGCCTCAGAAGTACACCTCCTCCGCCACACACTAGGTGAGCCCTGGTGTTCGGCGCTGTGAAGTGGGGTCTTCCGAGTGCCAGGACTCACTTAGGGAGAGGCTATTGAGAAGGGGCACTGCCTTACCTAGGTCCAGACTCCATTTCCAGCACAGCCAGCCAGGGGCCAACAGAGCATGTCCTCAGTCTAGATTGCAGCACCGATCCATGCCCATGACAGTGGAGGTCACTAACTGTCCTCCCAACTTCCTGATTTGTGTTTATTTCTATTTCTTTTTTCTTCCATTATCATCACCAAGCATTTAAAGAAAGCCAGGAGCTTGTGCCTGTGTGCTGTGGTCGCCTCAGCTTCAACAGCAGTACAGTGATGGTCACACATATGCAGCCTGGCCTTCTCCACACTGAGGACAGTGACTCCTACTCTGCAAGCAGCCCCAGTCTCCTGTGAGGTGGCATCCTCAGGAGGCAGGAGCAATGCTGGCACAGGGTTCAATGTCCCGAGCACTGCTACTACCTCTCCCTGCACACCAAGGCAGGCTAAGAGGGCTGAAGAAACAAACCACAGTCCAGATACACACGCACCTGGAACTCTGAGCCCCGATGCTGCCCTGGGACCTGACTTGCTGAGTCTGAGCTGAGAGGGCAAGATTGTGCCCCATCCTCAGCACAGAGCAGGAACACGTGTGCTGCTACCGCCCTGTGCTGGCTACCCTGTCACCTGGCCCAGCGCAAGCACTGCTGTGACCATGCTACCTGTCCCCCGGCTGCCTGCACAGCCTGCCTGCCAATGTGTTCAGCCCACGACAAGACTGGGTCCTCTGGAATGCGGGGGAATATGTGGTTTTAAGCAGAAATCCTTCCTTTGCTAGTCCATGCTCTCCTTTACCTAGAAAGAAAAAGTGTCTGAGGAACAGCAGGACTGCAGATCAGCCTCAGAGGTCAGTTACGTATAATATCTCATTTGGAGGTTCAGTCTCATGAGCAACAGGAGATACTTGGGCCAATCCCAGAACCCGCCACTCACAACCCCCCCACCACCACCTGTGGCTGGCCACTCCTCTGCAAGACTCCCAGGAAGGGATGGCCCCCTCAGCATGTGCTCTCACTGCCAGTCTCCCTTAGTGGCTCGGCCCAGCCATGAAGTGTGAGGAGAAGCCATCGGCCAAGGTTTCTGGGCCAACAGGACACATGTTCCTCCCGCCATGCTTAGGAGGAGATGGGCAGCCCTGAGCAGAACCAGTCCTGGCCCTGCAAGATGGTACACTATAGAGGGACAATCCGCATGTGTCTGCAGGGCTCCCATGAGGACCCTGCCAAGGCTACACTGGGTAGGGGTGAGGATGTTTGCCCCTCCCAGGCTGGCAGGCTTGCGGCCCCTTCTGAGCTGCTCACAGCAACACCCATCGGGTGAGCAAGGGGAGGGGGGAGCCTCTGCACCACCAAGGTACCTCCAGTCCCAAGCGAGGCAAGGACTGAGTCTCCTGACATAGGCCCTTTCTCACCTAGCCAAGTGGCTACGCACTGACGCACTGACGGTACAGCACTGAAATGCTGAGGAAACCACAGGGCGAGCAGAGGTGAGAAGGCGATGGAAGAAAATCTACTTCTCCTTTGTTCCAAAAAAATACCTCGGTATTGAGAACAAAAGAAGCAGCCGCCCACTCTGGGTGGGTCCCTCAGGGTGGCTCTTGAAAGGAGCCCTGGGGTTCCGAGCAGGAGGTTTCTGTGAACCCCAGTGAGGTAAAGAAATGGTTCAACAACTCATACTTAGCAATTTATTTATTTGTTTTTTTGAGGCAGGGTCTCACTATGTAGTCCAGGCTGGTCTCAAACTCACAGCCATCCTTCTGCTTAAGCCTCCCCGGTGCTGGGATTTACAGGTGTGTGCCACAATGCATGGCTAAGATTTCATATGATTTTATCAGTCCAGAGCTGTCAGCAAGGGACAAGGGACAAGGGACAAGGAAGCCCGGAGAATGAGGAGAAGCTGGTCCCACATGCTGACCTGGACTGGCTACCCTGCTGCCCCATGGCCAGGGCACTGTGAGCAGCAGGTGGAGGGGCACGTACCGCCTGCTCTTCCCCCCTGCCCACAGCCCTTTTTCTTTCTTTCTTTTTTTTTTTAAATCAGTACCGTGGATTGAACTCACGACTGCCTGCTTACAAGGCAGGTGCTCATGCCCCTGAGCTAAATCCCCAGCCCCGCACAGCCCTTTTTCAAACAGCACAGCAGCAGTCCTGTCCAGAACTCATGGGTGACCCAGACAACCACAGGCCTGCCCTCTGCAGGCACCACGTGGACATGCAACCTTGGGGGCCTGGCTCCTGTGACAGACAGTGCTATGCTGCTATGCGGCTCTTGGCAGGCTGCCCCCAGCCCTGACTAAGCAGTGGGAGGCCACACCTCTGTGAGTCAGACTGAGCACAGCAGGGCCTGGGAAACAGGATGCCACTCCTGCAGCAGCTTGGTGGCCTTTGAAAAGCTCATCCAGTCAGGCACAGATACTCACTGTTCATTGCTTAGCACCCCAGTTGTGAGGCTGGTTCCCAGTGACCCCTGCACTCCTGGGCTACTGGGCAGGAGGCACTGGGTAGTGACTTCTCAGCAGGGGGCACTAGAGGAACATGATGGGAAGGGACTAGCTGACAGTACCCTGGGGGCTGCACTTGAATCTAGAGGCAGGTTTTGCCTGGAGCTGGGAAGCCAGTCTCCCTCAACCCAGGGGACCAGGAAGAGCCCGACAGTCCTTCTTACACCAGCAGAAGAATCCTGCAGATGCCAGCACTTCCCAGTTCCCAGAACTGTGTGCCAAAATAAACCTCTTTTCTTTATAAATTAAAAAATCTAAGCTGAGGCAGGAAAATCACTATGAGTTGAAGGCCAGCCTGAACTACTGTGAGACCCTGTCCTAAAAACAAAAACAACTTTATTGTATAAATCTCACACCAGCCCAGAGCACCCTGCAGGCTACATTCATGCCTCTTCCGGATTCCATCTGGTTTCTGAGTGAGCTCCACTCTCTGGTTAGAGTGGAACCAGTGCCCAGCTCAGGGGCCGGTACTCCAAGTATGGCAAGGAAGGAGACAGGGACCAGGTAAATTGGGGAGGAAGGTGTGGTGGTGGAAGACAAGGAGGCACTATGAGATGATCCTGGTTAAAAATTCAGCTTTCCTCAAGAAAACTGGAAGTACAGCTCTGGCCTAATGTGCTCAAAGCACCCCCAATCAATTAATTAACCAACCCAACGCAGGACAGGGAGTACTGTACCCTAAGGTCTAGGTTCATTACATTAGCAAAGCAGACATACAACAAAGTATTGAATCAAAATCAGCTCCCCGGGGCTGGGGATTTAGCTCAGCAGCGTAAGTGCCTGCCTTGCAAGCAGGCAGTCGTGAGTTCGATCCCTGGTACCAGTAAAAAGAAAAAAGACCCCCCCCCCCCAAAAAAAAAATCAGCTCCCCAAAGGACAGTATACTTTGGAGCAAAAACACTTAGAGTCTTGTGTTAAAAAAAAACAAAAACAAAAACAAACTGTTTTCAAATGTTTGTCCCTTTAAGGAGAAAAGAGCAGGGAAAAACAAGATGTACACACACACACACACAAACACACAGTACAGAGACTGCTAATGTCTCTTAGTTTGTTGAAAAGAAAGGTTTGTGCTAATATTGTTTGGATGACTAAATGTCTGTATCTTGTAACTCTGAGTAACTAATTTAAAGACAACAATGTGCAATGTATTAACCATCGTTGCTCTCCTATTGTTTTGAAACCTTTTTCTCTTTCAAAATTTAAAAAAAAATCTGATATTGACAGGTTCCTCTCTCACATTAATCTTTTTTTAAAAAAAAAAGTTTGTTCCTCTTTTCCGATGTGACAGTGGGTCTGCCTGCCAGAGAAGGAGTGTGGTGGCGTGAACACAGTGGTCTTGGATACCACAAGGCTAAGCCTCACAGATGCTCACCAAGGACAAATGGAGCCTGAGCCTTCCAGAGCCTCTTAGGAGGTCCTTCGCCCACCCCACTGACAAAAAAGCACTACAGGGACAGTGAATCCCTCAACTCACAGGCCTGGACCATGCAGGGGCACAGAACAAGCACTGCCTTCCACAAGCTGCACTTCTGCCATGAAGGACGGGCAGCAGCGTCTGTGCCATGCGTTCCTGCAGCACAACTTGCAAAGGAGGCCCCTTCCTGTCTTCCTACGACCACTATCAAAGCTAACAGCCAGCTGAGAATGCCCCACCCTGCTACACACTGAAAACAGGAACAAGACCTTCGGGCCAGCTCTTAGCTTGTTTCTGTGCAGGAAGCCACCTGGCCCCTTGCTTTGGGCAGAGATGGGGGGCAGATGGCGGCTTTCTCTCTACCCTAACCACTCCTCCCCCATAATGCCAAGAGGGACACCCATGCTGCCGCCCGCCAGCACACTGCTGAGTGACAAGAGTTGCGAGCACCACCCTTCACAGCCTCCCTCGCCTACCAGCTGGGAGACCAGGCCTTCCTGCTGGCCTCCAGGTGATCCAGTCTTTGGTCTGCTCCTGTGAGCACATGCAGGCCAGGAGAGGTAGAAGGAGAGGTAGGAGAAGGACCTTGGTGACTCTGCCCTATTTCCCCTCAAACGCTCACCCCATCCCAGTGTCTTCAGTCCCTGCCCTACCATCCCATGCCTGGAGTCTGAGGGTGCAGGGACAAAGCTCCAGGCCTCATATCACAGGGGTGGCTCTGTACCCTACCCCTTGTTGGGGCGGCAAAGCACTTGGAGATCAGCAATGGGGCAGCCTTGGGACTCCACTGGTAAAAATGGATGCATGCCAGGGCTCCCCACCTGACAGTTCAGGAAGGATCACTTCCAACATACCTGTGTACTTTTGTGCTGCACCCTCAGGGCCACCACACTGGATGCCCCTCACTTGCAGAATTCCTGTCATGCACACCTTTGCTCTGTGTGACCCTTAGGAATACTGTAGTATAGGGCATTGAGGGCAAGGCTACCCACGGACTTCAAGCTGGCCCAATGTAGAAGAGGAGGCAGTATCCAGAAGCCAGTCTCTGCCCCACTGTGCGTACCCAGGGATGCTCTGGTCAGGCTCCACCGCAAGTGGGAACCAGGCCACAGCTAAGGGTAGCCTTGGGCTGGTACCTGTGTCTGAGTCCTTCTGCTCTCCATTGGCCCCCACGGTGAAGGGCAGCTTCCGCTTGGTGGTGCGCTCTCTCACCTCCTTCCCTCCGTCATTGCGGTCCAGTTTTGGGGTTTTGGTTAGAGAAACTTTATCTTTATCCTAAAAAAGAAAGCGCTGCTTTCAGACACTCTTCCCAGATTAAATCCCAAACCAGCTGCAATTTCTTTTCCTGTGCCAGGAAAAACAACCCTCTCACCAGGGTACTTCACGGCCCCTCCAAGAATGTCTCGTCCTACCCACAGTGCTACACTGCATGCTTCACCCAAGGGGCTCTTGGGAAAGGCTGCCTTCCTGGGAGCAATGAGGCAAAGCAAGAGCTTTGGGAGGAATCCACCGTCACACTGTACTCCTTGGGGGTATCTACATGAAGCTCAGAGGTCCCAAGATGTAGAAAGTGGACCGTTGAGGGAGAGAGGGGAGGAGCTGCTAGAGCAAGGGTGAGGACAGCTCCCTCAGAAGAAGGAAAACTTGCCCTGCCAAGCTAAGCAGGGGTCTCGTAGCTACAGCACCCAGACTGTAGAGAGACCCAGCCATAGCTGACCTGTGTGGGCCATGGAGTAGGGTTAGTCTCGGAACACCCTAGATCACACACCAGACAGCCTCTACAGTGGATGCCAAGTCCAACACTGCCACAGCCAGGTGCACGCCCCAGGGAGACATTAGCACACACCGGCTATCTATCTCACATGGAAAGGCATGGTGGCTAGAAACACCAACCCCCAGCTTGCTTTCTGAAATTTCCTCAATGAGTCCCTGGCAAGAACTGTGCAGTCACCCTCGGCAGCTTCCAGTGGGAACAGCCCCTAGAGACACCTGAGCACAGCCTCAGCAGCCCCATCACCAGTCATGCACCTCTGAGACCCTGGTATTCCCTCCAGCACGACTGGGCAACCTCCGGGTGACTAACTGTGGCAGCTTGGAAGACACATTCCTCAAGTGACTTTGGAGGGCACTGCTCAACATGCCGCAAGCTCTGTGCCAGGGCAGTGTGCCAGGGGACAGGGTCACGTGGACATGCAGCTCTCCTCCCGCAAAGGCAAGGCCCAAAGCCGTCTCCCAGCAAGCCCTCCCTGTGAACCCTACTGTGAAGGAAGGGGCTGCTAGAAAGAGCAGAACATCAGACAGGAACCTGCACATGTTGCCTTCTTATCAGGAGGACACCTGGCCCAGTGCGCGGATTTCACCTACATTTTAAGAAGAAACATTGCAATTCTCATGCAAATTCTTCTTGGGGACAGAGAAAGAGGAAACATTCCCAACTCATCTTGAGGCTGCCATGGCACTAATCCCAGCACTCAATGAAGGGCATTCCCTGGATGGTAATTATGAACCAACAGTCTTTACAAACAGAAACAGGGAATACCTGAACAGGTCCAAGAAAATGGACTCCAAGTACACAGGAAGATCATGCAAATCACAGAAACACTGAAGGGTTCAAGAACGCAAGAAGGGCCAGGGGAGATTAGCTCAGCGCATATGTACCTGCTTGGCTAGCACAAGGTCGTGAGTTTGATCCCCGATAACACACACGCACACAAAAAAGCAAGACTTTAAGAAATGGATGGGAGGGGCTGGGGATTTAGCTTAGCAGCATAAGTGCCTGCCTTGCGAGGAGGCGGTCATGAGTTTGATCCCCAGTACCGATAAAAAGGAAAAAAGACCAAAAAAAAAAAAAAGAAATGGATGTGAGTTATACTTTAAAAACCGCAGGAAAAACACATGATACAATCATCTCAAGAGCTACTGAACAGCCTGTGGGCAGGGTCCAGCCCTGCTCAGGGACAAGTCTGCAGTTTCCTCCTTAGCCAGGAGAAAGAGGAGATGCCACCCCTACCCAAGAACACTCTGAGAACCTGGAAGCCGAGTTCCAGGGTAAGGAAGCAGCAGTGTGGTGTTCTCCCCAGGACAGGGTCTGAGAGGAAGACTGCCTGCACTTACATCTACATAGGAAAGAGAAAGAAAAGCAGTATTTCCAAATGAGCATAGGTCTGAAGAGAAAATTAGTAAGAGAAAAAGGCCATCTTTCTTTTTTTTCCTTGATTTTTTATTTCAAAGAGAATAAAACAAAACAGAACAAAGCAAATCAGAATAGAACGATGCAAGCAACACAACACTTCACAACCAGACAACAGGACAACAACAATAGCTATCATAATGTCTCTGAAAATGCCACCTTCCACACCCAAAACTCATTTACAGCAGCTCGGCACAAGAGTACACACTATAACCCAAGCCTAGTAGCTGGGAGGCTGAGATTATAGGACCTCAAGTCTAAACCAGGCTAGATTACCTAGGGAGATCTATCTATAAATATATACCAAAGCACAAACAGATAGACAGAGAGGTCTGGGGATGTACTCAGAGCATCCTGGGTTTAATCTCCAGTACCTTGGGTGATTGGGGAGAAGAAACCTCAAATTTTGCTATGGTGTCAGAAGACACTTCTGACATGAGAAGGTCCTGGTTAGGGACACTACAGTAAACCTTCAGGATGTGGGAATCCCGGGCACCTGCCTTTCAGTGTGCTTCACAGCACAACTGTGCAGTCGTGTTTCAGTGAAAAGGCTTACCGTGCTCCGGGTCTAGGTAACCAGCTAGTCAGGGACATAAAACCAGCAGGGGTGGCAGCAATGTGTCTGACCTATCTGCAACTCCTCACCAGCAACATAGGAGCAACTGGGCACACTGCAGGGCAAGTTCTTTCCAAATGCTCATACTGCCTTCAGTTCTGTCTTCACCAAGCACCGCCTGCCACACACCAAGACACCCCAACAATGGCCAAGTTTCTAATCACCCCCACTCTGTGACTTGCCCACTAGAAGCCCAGAGAAGAACAAGTAAGTTGTGACTATTTGAAAAGTGATCACGACCCGCAGGACTTTCACCCTGGAAACTACATAACTGTGGTTAATTCTCACCTCTGAGTAAAAAGAATCATCTACAGCAAAAAAATCCAGGCTGACAGGAAGTTCACCATCTACCAGCCCTCAGTCCAGCAGTCGGCTGCCCACATGGGGAGGTGTGTGTGGGCATGGGTGTGGACATTCCGCTTGCCCGGAGGCCCATCCTTACCACAGCCAATTCTGGGAGCAGACGGCATGTACGTCCTCCAGTAGTGCTCTGAAGTTTCAAAATGGTCTTCTCTTCGCTTCCACATAAATTTCTACCAAACAGCCTGCTGGGACCCTGAATGCATTTTACTAAACCTATCCCTCAGCTTGGGAAGGCACATGCCAAAACAGTTTTGTGACCAAGGAACATCATGAGATCCCCCACTTACTCGGGCTAATTTCTCTCAGTTGTTCTGGTAACTCTCAGAGCACAGGTCTTGCCGCACGGGTCTCTTATCGGCTGTATTCTAAGAGAATCCATAGTTCTGATGTGAATGTGCATTATGTTCCAGCCCCCAACTGTTCACACACTGTGTTTAGAAACATGATCATGTACACTGGTACTACACCGAGACTTCTTGCTAAATTAATTCTTGTGCAGGGCTTTTAGGCTTCTCCCCTTACACATCTATGAACAGTCTTAACTCCTTCTGTCCCCAACCTGTATGCCTTCTGCCTCTTTTATTTGCCGATATGCTAGCCAGAGCCAGTGGCAGGGTGCTGACAGCAGCAGTGGTCACGAGTGTCCTTCCCTGAGCCCTCTGCCATGAGCACTGCACGTCAGGCCCAGGGAGCCCAGGGAGCCAACCCCTTCTTCTGCACTTGCCTCAATGTTCTGTAATCCACAGGTGACTGGTGTGGAGACACAGTATCAACTAGTACAATCGTCTGCGTTTGTTAACACAATGAAGCAAAGCAATTGATTTTGGATGTTAAATAAACCTTAAATTCTTGTATAAACCCTACTTAGCTAAGGAACACATCTTTTTTTTACATACTGAGGAATTTCATTTGCTAAAATTCTTCTTAAAACCCTATGTTTATGTTCATGAGCACTAGTGGCCTGTTGTTTTCCTGTAGTATCTTTGGTTTTGGGTTTGGTGTAACCCTGATGGAACAAGCAAGTATCTGTGAACTACTTTATACCATTCACAAAACCAGAAATGGATCAAAGACCTGCATCTAAGAATTAAAATGATACACAGAGAAAAATATAGAGAAGAACTTTGTGATTTTGTATTTGCCTATAATGCCAGCTTCTTAGGAAGCTGAGGCCAGCCTAGTCAACTCATCAATATCATGTCTCAAAACCAGAGTTGGGGAAGTGGCTCAGTGGCAGAGCATTTGTCTGTAGGTTCAATCTCTCATCCCATACCAAATAAATCACTTTTAAAATTCTGAAAGGAAAAATGAATTGACTGAATTTCCACAGAAGCCAGGAACAGCAGACAGCCAGAGCTCTGTGTTGTGTGAGGAGTTGGGCTACCAGAGGAGAACCAGAATCCAAGGCGTTCCGAGCCTGTTTTCTTCCTAAAGTAGAGGGTTTGCCTTCCTACAACTTGAAGTCAGGAAGAGGTAAGGAGACAGGACCTCCGCTCTACAACCCTACAGCTCCCCACACTCTTCAGAGAGGAAGGGACACCAGTCAGTGGGGCCCCTGCCAAGAGGGCCCCCTGCATAGGAGTGGACCGCAGCTAGCAAAGGACTGCGGGGTGGGGCACACACCAGAGCAAGGAGTGGCTGGGGAAGCCGTGCCAACAACTGCACAGGAGCTGAAGCCTATGGAATTCTCAGTGCCCACCTGGCATCTGGGCCTTCTCCACCAGGATTGGTGTGGGGAGGGAAGCAAGCCAAGGCCTGAAAATGTGGTACTCTTTCCCACTAGGTCCCTATAACAAGGTCAGGCAGATGCCAATCTCCCTACCTGGGAACCCAAGGTCTAGCCTCTGTCATGGCCACCACTAAAGCTAGCTTTGAGCTGAGGGGAGCTGGAGCCTGGATCAGAGAACAGGCTCCACACTCAGCCCTGTCTGGGGCCACCTACTCCTCCTGGGTTGGGTGGGGGCTGTGCTAGGAAATCTCACCAAGAGGTGCATGCAGACTGACTCCCAGGATGAAATGGCATGGCTGAGGTAACCTGCCACACGGTGACCCTGGGGCAGCCACTTCTACAGATGGGTTTTGCCCTGGAGAGCCCAGCATGATTCTATGACTGCTGCAGAGCAGCCCGGGACTCCTCAGCACTTCCACAAAGTGGCAGCAGGGACTACAGGGTGTCACATCCTGTGCAGTCCATGTTGCATGGCCAGCGCTCAAGCTACAGTACTCACTGCTGCCAAGGGGCTCGACAAATTGCAAAGCAGTGTCTACCCTCAGAGCTCTGCTCACTGGGCTGTGGAAGGTGACTTCCCCCAAGGCTGATCTCAATACTCTGATCTCTGTGGTGCTGGGGGGGAGGGGGGTTGCTGGGCTTGTCAGCACAGCTTCCTCATCCATTCCTTGGATGTACCCTGGGTCTGTACCTCACCCTCCACACATGCTAGGTAAGTGCTCTACCCTTGAGCTAACCCTAGTCCCTAGAACATATTTGGAAAACTCCAGGTCTCCTCTGAATCTCATAGTGAACAAGGATAATGGCCTCTTGCACAGGGGGCTCTGCACTGTGCATCAGGGACTTCTCTCTGAGCAGCGCTCTGGCTTCTCTGGACCAGAAAATCTGCCACAGTATAGGGATGTACTGGCTTCGAGGAGTCTCCTCCCAGTTCAGATACTCCAGAAATCTCCTTAGTACGGAGCACATCCTTCTGCACATCTGTCCATGCTGCTCCAGGACCATGTGTTCTATCTCTGTCACCTACAAATGCTTCCTTGACTTTAATAACACCCAACTGCATCTGAGAAAGAGTCTGTTGTGAGAATGAGCCAAAGCCAGTCCAGGCCCCATCACAGCACTGACATCCCGAGGAGTGAGCCCAAGCACACTGCTGCCAGCATTGTGTCTTCTTAGGCCTCTACCATGCACCTCAGGAGAGCTCCACTAGCACCAAGCACACCTGGGGACAAGAAGGGCATCTTCAGATGACATCTGTCTGTCTCCAGGGGGAGACCTCTGGCTTTATCTCAATAGTCAGAAACCAACAACAGAAGAAGAACATAGCTAGTTTACTGAAGAAAACTCCAAGTCTGCTCCACACATCTTTCAAAGGCCCAAGTGCAGACAAAGCAGGCATTGCAGAAACAGAACTGGTCCAGTGCTGGCACCTCAAGCCAGCCTAAGCCAGCCAGGGCCCTTGGCAGCTGTTCAAGATGAGCCCTACAAGGGGGACACAGCCTGCAGTTCGGCAGCTTCTGCCCTGCCCCTCTGCACCACTGCAGCTCGGCCTTTATTGTGTGGCCCCTGCCCAAAGCATTACCACCCCTCCTATACCTGGCTCTCTTGAGCGTCAGACATCTTCAACATGGCCTCCTGCGCGCTGCCCAGACCAATCATTCTCTCCACCATCCAGTCACGTCTGTCAGACCTATAATCCAAGCCAACATGGCACCAAATGTGGTGCACACCTGTAATCCAGGCAACTCAGGAGGCAGAGGCAGGATCACAAGTTTAAGGCCAGCCTGAGCAACTTAAGGCAAAATTTGAAGGGGGCATGTGTGCTGGGAATGTAGCTCAGTGATGGTACACAACTCATTTAGCAACTAAGACCACAGAAGACAAAAACCAAAGAGAACAAACTCCAGTGTGACACAGATGCCTCCTTGCTGAGAGCTGCTGTGCCACCCCGACAAGCCAGCAGATGCCTTGCTCGCCGATGCCTTATGGGAGGATGTTTCGGGGTTTCAGGGCTCCCTGTGTTAACCATGTGGACACAAGAAACTCTGGTCCCAAACCAGCTCACCTCTCAGCAGGGACTGGCCCACTCTCTACACCACTGCCCTTAAATTACACAGGCAGACCTAAAATCACAGCTCTGAGATTGGCTTGATGTCCTTGGTGTGAAACGGTCCCCAGCTGTGGAACTGCCAGTGAGAGCAATTCTACCTCCTTTGCCATGGCCCACATCCCTCCTGGCCCAGTGCAGGTATGTGCTTTCCGGTTCTCTTATGATCTTAGACATACCCCTCGAGCCAAGCCATCTGGGAGTCCACAGGACCTGCAAGCACGTGCAGCACCCCACCCTGCCCGCCCAACAGCATAAGCCTGTTCTAGTCCATCTGCTGGCGCCACGCTGTGGTGCTCACCACTCCCGGGCAGGGCATGAGGCACTCCAGACAAGCAAGACGGGAAGACAGTGGGCACACTGCCCAGACACCTGAGGGTCCCAAGGCTCCTCTACCTTTTCTGTCTAGGTAGCATTAAGCATGACTGTGTTCGTACACTGCTTCACGTTTACCAAAACAAAGTGAATACAGGACTCTGTTCATTCATTTTCAGATGTACAATTCCTGCTAACCTCACTGCACTCTAAGACCCAACTATTACCACAGAGACTGAGCTGCAGCAGAGAAGAGGAGAGCAGGCGCACAGGCAGAAAGGAAGCAGTTCAAACTAGCTGCCAACCAGGAACTGCAGCAAGGCAGGGAACATGATCCACCTGGCTGAGCACACAGGCAACCAGGAAGCAGCACTGTCAGAACGAGTAACAGTGACCTGCTTTCCGTGGGCTTGTGGGTCCTCTGCTCTGGCACAGAGAGCAGAAACCTAAAATTCAATGCAGCCAGGGCTTGGTGATGAACACAAAATAAAACATGGCAGAGCCTGAACCTGAGTCCATTTCGTCAGACTCTAAATTCATGTTCAGAGTACACCCTGCACTGCAGGAGAGGAAACGTGCACTCCCTGACTAGACCTGCACAACAGGATGCACTCCAGAGCAGTCATTCCCTAACCCCTAAGCACTGCGGAACGGGAAGTGTGCACCCCAGAACTGTATCACCTCCTCACCCACTAGCACTGCAGGACAGAAAGAATACACCGCAGAAATGTCACCCTCCTTCCACTCCTGACAGAAGTATGCACCACATAACCGTGTCGTGCAGCAGCCCCCTCCCTCCACATTCCCTGGCACTGCAGAACAGGAAACCACATGATATAAGCTGGGCTTACTGGTGCACACCTGTGATCCTAGCACTCTGGGAGACCGAGGCAGGAGGATTATAAGTGAGTCCCACCTAGAACAACTTACGCCTTTTTCAAAATCAATCCGTCAATCCAACTAGGTATGTAGCTCAGTACAAATCCCTAGTACTTAAAAAAATAAATAAAAAAGTACACAGAAAACTTACAGTTTAGATTTCCATTGTTTTCCTATTCACATTCAGAATAAACAAAATTTAAATGTAAAATTCTCAGCAGTTTATAATCAGGATAATCGAAAGCACCGTGACAGAAATCTTGAGGCCCAGGGACAGAAACAGACCGCTGCACAAGATCACCTCAGAGAGCAAGTTCTGTGCCGCAATGCACTGGTGGAAAAGTGGCCTTGGCACACACAGCTGCTTGAACACCCACTCCCTCCTGTAAGAGAGGCTTCCGCATGTACCCGAGTCAGCACCCAACACCACCAGCCTGTTTGGTTTACAGAGACAAGAGGCAGAGAGGAGCCCACAGTTACCTTTTTTCCGGTTTGTTTCTCCACCATGTCGTTGCTGAGAGGAAAGTCTTCTTGCTGTGGTGTTTTAGAACACCCACTCTTGGGCATCGTTCTGCTCCCTCACCTGATCTTCATTTACACCACCATCGCCTCATCGTCAACCGTCTGCTTTAAGACAGAAGAGATAGAGTCAGACACCATGGAGCTCAGTTAGACACAGCTCAACACCTAGCCAGCCTCCCATGGACCTCGACAGACTGACCACAGCAGGCACAGCTGCTCAGCACACGGCCAGCAGCAGTCCGCTCCGCATGAGGGAACTAGGCCCCAGGAAACACTCAGGAACAGCACGCGGGAGCAGTGGCAGGTGCGACAAGGGTAAGAGGGAAGGGCCTTTGCAAGGTACAGGAGTACTGGCCTACTCTGGGCGGCAGGTGTAGGGGCCAGTGCCTCACAGCCTGGGCCCTTCTAGTGCAGGCCATGGCCAAGTCCAGTGATTCTGCCCCTGCTCGTTGCCGTCAGGAGACAGCCTGAGGCCGTCTCTTCTTTCCCACAGCCAAGGTCATGACACCCAGGGCCCACGCTTAGGACTGGCAGATCTCCTCACACAGGCAACAGCCTCCACCATCCACTCACTAGTTGGACCCAGCCTTGCACCTCACGCCCCAAGGAGAAAGCTGGAGGAGAATCCCCTGCTTTTTATAAAGTGCTGAGCACAGGGGGCTAACACTACACTCCTTCCAGATAAAATGTCTGGATCTGCACACAGGCATGTGACAGCTCAGAGCATCATGCCACTAGCCCCTTCGCCTGGGCCTGAGGTTCCAGTCTGTCTCCTAAGAAACTCGGCATGCGCATGAAGGATACTGAGCATGTCCTTCATTTTCTGCACTTTATGACATTTTAGCATCTTTTTGCTCTGGCTGCTGCCTTGAACTGTTGCCCCAGAGCCATGTCACCCTGCTTTGGAGCCAGCTGATTATGGACTGAAACTTCTAAAAACTTTGAGCTAAATAACCCTGTTCTTCCCTAATTTTGTCTCAGCAATGAGAGAAAAGTAACCAAGACACCCAGGCAAGCCAGAAGGCTGGATATCTAATGACACACATATAGTATTGAGGAAAAAGACATACTACATCTATCTAATCATCTATCTGTTTTTCCCCCCTTTCTTTTTCTGACACAGGGTCTTGCCATTTAGTTCAGCCAATCCTTGAACTTACTCTCTAGCCCAGGTTGGCCTCAAACTGATAGCAATCCTCCTGCCTCAGTTTCCCAAATGCTGGGCTTACAGGTATGCGCCAAATACATGTGTTTACATAAACTGCTGAAGACACACGACAGCAATGCTGAGACATGCATATTAGGTGCCAAAATGCATCTGAGCAATGGAAGTTTGGAGGTGCGATGGGCTCTGGGACTGTGAGGTTAAATGGGGCTTCAGAGTAAAGGGATACAAGTGTTTGCTTTGAACTTCTGGGTGTTAAGTTTTACAACAATTACTGTTTAAAAAGCTGAACAAGTAATGTTCAAAACATGAGACATGCTTCAAAAGTCAGAAGGCACTGTAGTGACCCTGCCACAGGCCCTGACCTCTTCTGGTGTCGTCCTGTCTGCCCTGCTGAGAACTGCAGCCACATGGACGGGACATGGGGAGCTCGAGGCTGCTGACATTTGGAGTGAACCAAACCTTTGCAAGTAGCAGACAGTCATCCACTGTAACTGCAGGAGAGAACAGGAAACTTTAAACCCTGGCTAAGGCAGAAGCAAGCATCCAGTTCTAAAAAGAGAGAAAAGGAGCTGAAAGCAGTGCAGGAAAAGTATATGTCTTACACAACAAAGGAATTAAAACACAGACTAGATGTGATGAAGAGGACAGGAATGCAGGCATTTGTGTTCAAGGTATGAGTGAGTGACTAAAAATAGGCACTGTGGGGAAGCACTGAAAGCAGGACGAGGACAGTGAGTCAGCAGACATCCTCAGGAGCTCGGCGGTGTAGAAACAAACCCACGGAACTGCCCAGGGAAGGCAGGATGCAGGCAGAGAGGGCAGTGAAGCAGGTGTAGGCTGCTCAGACACTGCCGCAGGAACAGAAAAGGACAGCCTGTCACCTCGCACCAGGCACCCAGCTCAAGGTAAACCTGACCCAAAGCATAGAGGAGAGGACAAGAAAAGGTGTGCGCAGACCAACTCACTGCAGCTATGAATGACACTGACACTGAGCTGTGCAGCTCCAATCGGACGAACGGGAAGGAAGGAACCAGCAGAGAAAAAGCCTATGTATTTGGTGGGCAGTCGTCTCGGGAATATGAAGGAGCACTAAAGTCAACAAATGACAGAAAAATGAAAGCTGGCTTAACACCAGAAAGTCAACCAAAGTAATCCTCCAGCTAAAGAGGAAAAATCACAAAACCTTAACAATTAGGACAGAAAACCCACCTGACTGACTCCAACACTCTTGATAAATTCCCTCAGCAAAGCAAGACCAGTGGGAAACATCTCTGATGCAATGAGGAGCAGTCACAGAGCCAGAGCCAAGGCTGCCAGGACGAATGCCAATTGCTTTCTCCCCAAGGGCAGCGAGATGGCAAGGTGTCCCTGTAACCACTGCCATGGAACATTCTGGCTAGCACACGAATGAACAAAAAGAAAATCAAAAGCATACAGATCAGAAAGTTAGAAATAAAACAAAACTATCTCAAGATAACACATCTACCTATAAAACCACAGGAATATAAAACTCTTAGAAATAAGGATTTGGCAAGTCTGTAGAATACACGCAAGATCAGCACACAGAAACCCATTGTGTTTCCACAAGTGTGCTGGTACTGAACATATGCAAACAGAAATAACAGACACAATGCCACTTAGACCTGCACCAACTAAAAATGAAACAGATTCAAATCCACCAAAACTAGAAGAGCTTATAAAATCTTAGGGAAAATCTTTAGGGAGTAGGGCTAGACAGAGTTTTTACACATGACAACAAAAGCAAAATCCTTCAAAGAAAAAACATAAAATGTCAACAAAATTAATAACTTTCTCTGTGAGAGACCTAGGTTAAAGGGTGAAAAGACAAACTACAGGCAAGGCATTTGCAAATTACAAATTAGACAAAGAACATGTACACAGACCAAGACACAACACTCCACAGTGAAAAACAATCCAACTAGAAAATAGATAAAACACATAGAGACATTTTACTAAACAAAGATACAGACAGTAAGCACGGATATGAGGAGATGCTGAAGGGTATCAGCCCCCAGTGACTGCCAAACCAAATGACTGGGTGGGGGTGAGATCTGTAATCCCAACACTCAGGAGGCTGAGACAGGATGCCTGCCAGCCAGCCTGGACTGCAAGTGAAAGCCTCTCTTAACAAAAGAAAACAAAACACCATTATGAGTTCGGAATGGTATGCACCTACTAAAACAGCTACAACCAACAGAATAGTGCTGAGGATACAGAAAAAACTGGTCTCTCAAATTCAGGTGGTGTGAACCCTGAACGTGAATCAGCACATAAAAGTGAACACAAAAGTTCTCTGAAAACAGTGCAAACATCAACTGTGACTATCCTCCGGGGCATGTATCCTAGAACATTAACCTTCTGTCTGCACAAAGACCTCAATATGAATGGTCATGGTGGAAAAGCCCTTTAACAGAGGTCCAGACAGCGCCCTGGAGCAGTGCTGCAGTCTCTCTGCACAGTGCATCTGTCACTACTGACACGTACACTGGACAACACAGTCAGCCTCCAGTAGTCACATCCTGCATGACATCTCCACAACTGGAGAACCTATCGAGAGTGTCAAGGCATCGGTGCATGGTGGACAGGGCAGTTGAGAACAGCATGGGGACCTTTCTGTACCACACTGGTTGTGGTACATGTGGGTGGCAGGGTCTGTGCCCTGGGCATAGCTGAGCACATGGGTCTGCAGCACTTCTCAGCACCCCCTGGAGTGTCTGCATCACAGCTGTCCCCAGGAAGGCACTGGGGGAGCTGCAAGGGTCACTGCTAGTTTTGTAACTTCCTGAAAATCTGTATTTCAAAGTAAAGCTTTTTTCTTGTTTTTCTGTAAAGGAGAATACAGAGATGAGGAGACCTAGGTATGCTGGTAAATCTCTGTATTCTGATTATGGTACTAGCCGTCTTTCAACTATACACATTTTCTAAAGCCCAAAGAACCATGCATTTTAAATGGGCAAATTATATGTCAATTATAACTGTTAAAAGCTGTTAAAAATAACTGGCAATAAAAAATTTTAATTTCCAGCCAGGCCTGGTGTCACATGTCCGTAATCTCAGGGTTTTGAGGCTGACACAGGAAGACTGCCATGAGTTCAGGACACATAGCAAGACCCTGTCTAGTAAGCTCAAGGCCTGAACTGCATGCCTAGTGAGACTGTCTCAAAAGACAAAAACTTTGTCTTACAGTTTTGATACTGGAGTCATGTTTTACACAATTTAAAACATTAAATATAAGAAACCAATACCTAAAACTGAAGAGAGAATAAACTTAGCTAGCCCTTTATCTGTTCAGTGGCAGGACACAGGAAGAGCACTCACTACTGACCACTGTATAACAAGTGACTCCACAAGCATTCCATGACCATACACAGTTCTGTGGGCAATGCCACAGGGCTCTCAGAACCCCACTAAGGCCACCTGCCAGACTGAGAACCATGCTTCTCAGATGGCCACTCATGTGCCTGGCAAGGGTCGGGTTCTAGCACAGGTCCAAACTCCTCCCAGTGTGTCCATCTTGACTGATGCGGGTCCTCACACCAAAGCAAGTGGTTTCCCTTAGTGGAGCCTAAGTGGTCACATCCTCTGAACCTTCCTTGGTCTTCAGTGCAAAAGGCAGATAATTTCTAAACTAGTCTTTTAAGTTGTCTTTATCTGAGAAATGCTTCAAAAGTAACATCAAGGGGGCAGAGTCTACTGGGAGAGTAGTTACTACTGGCTCTACTCAGTGTAATTTACTGTCTCCTGAATAGTTTACAGGATAGTTTCAAAAGCGAAAACCAGCATGTATGGTGATACATGTCTGTTGTACCAGCACCTCAGGAGGCTGAGGCTGGAGGATCACTACAAGGTCAGCTTGAACTGCATAGTGAGTAAAACCTGTCTTTAAACCTTAAAAAAAAAAAAAAAAAAAAAA